ATTACTATTAGCACAGAAACTGATTATTCCAGGATTCCAGTAATTAACATTTTTTTCCATTCCTCTTGCAGCAGTTACAGTGCTGGTTCAGAGAAAAAAAAAGTTATTTCCAAACCATTGTGATAGACAGCATTGTCAGGGCCAATGTGTTGTCCATACCCTCTGCACTGTATATTTGCCTCAATATGGTTCTGTCCAAAAGGCAGCGGTGCATGATGGGTAAGGAATCAGTAGGCTCTCTTAGGACTTTCCCTTTACATAGTAAGGCCCTCTTTGATGTGTGCTGCAGTAAACACAGGCAGTTCTCTCCCAACCACAGTCTCCTGGGAGATAAGGCTCAGCACAAGAACACTAATGAGCACATTAGTAGGAAGCCATAGAATGAAAATGATACAGTTGTAAATGGAATTGTCTCTTGTGTTGTCTGTGCCAAAGATGCTCTGTATGTGTGTGTATGTAAGTATGTGTGTATGTGTGCAGTCAATTGCATGTATATATTGTCTGTATGGGTGCAGAGTATAGACAGAATATATGGGCCTCCATAGGAAAGTTACAAAAAAAAGCCTTTTTGTGACAGCTCCAACTTCATAAAAGCTTAATGTAAGATTTAAAAATTGGATTTGAATCAAGGCTGCAAAATACTGTAATATAACCACCACTTTCAGACGCACTATAATTAGCAGTTGAAAGTAATCAAGCATTAGTGCTAAAAAGCAAAAGTGGGACTGTGAAACTGAGGTGCCATATGCCATAGACAATAACAGTAGCATGCCTTACAAGTGGAGCATTCACCATTTATTCCATTTAAGATAATCACAGTTCCAAAAGAAGTGATGCATAATAATCCTACCTGCATGAAAAATAGTGGCTGTGTCAAGGTGTGTGTGTAGGTTAATAATGGTGCTTCTTTTATGGATCTGTTAAAATGAAAAAAATAAATACTGTTTGTTTTGTGATATGTTACCAAATAATATTAACGTTTATAGCAGTAGGCAAACATCGCCTCAGTGTTTGCCACAAAACACCTCAGATCCATGCTGCACTGTGCAGCATAATATGCTGCAGACACTGGCCCACTTTTAGTGCACTTTGATTGGCTGTATGCATTCATAGAGAAGAACATCCTTTTTGGGACTTCCTTTTTATTATAAAAAAACATAATGTGTCTTTTTCAATTATAATTAGCATATCTAGTCATGTTAGTGTGCATTCAGCTTTATATTCAGCTCTATTTTAATTCACTTGTTTGAGTTTTAACTTATGGGACTTTGCTTTTGTGGTGGAGTTGGATCCCCTCCTCCATTCCCCAATAAGAAATGTTGAGCTTTTGAAGATATTGACTGATAGCGATTCAATAGTAGTGACTGGGAAGAAGCACTAGCCTCAGTACTCCTCTCTGATAACTGTGATCTCTCAAGCATCATCTGAATCTGTGATCCCCAGCCAGTAGATTCCTCGAAAGTTACCAAAGGAATTGGCAATCTGTATTGCCTTTGTGCAATGGGGAGAGTGAGAGACGTGAAAATGATTTCAAAGAGTCCAGGATGAATCACGCTCTCATGGCAGCTGCCATTTATTAGCACATTTTCCACCATTTTTTTTTAACAGCTACCTAGCCATTTGACTTTCACAGAGTTTGCTAGAGTCTTACATAGTGAGGGTTTTATTTTGTCAAATGGCTTCATTAAAAGTGTTGATAAATGAACCTAATGGCAACTTGTATGTTTGACATAATTAGTCATGGCACTATATCTTAATAATGACTAAAAGCAAGGGACACATCATTTATCAGCTGTTACCTCAATAATGAAGATGCAGATTCATTTAAAAAAACAAACTGATTTTGTTACTGGTTTGATATCAAAAAAGTGCAAAAATCTGTCTTCTGCTTTAATTAGTTTGACTGCTTGGATCAGTAGCAGGGCTTACACTGATTTATTTAGGGCCAGTTCCTTGACAGTCAGGAAATGACAATACAGAACATATCGCATCAAAACATACAAGACTAATTGCTTTATTAAATTGCTATGTTTCTGACAGTGGAATATTTAAAGAATGTAGCATTTCCACAGGATCCTGTTTGACAGGTGCTCGTTCAAAAGTGCCTGAGTTGTGCTTGCTATGCTGCAGATTTTTTACCATTTCTTGCCTGTCACAGTGATGAAAAGGGAACCCATAAGAAATTGACAGCCTGTATTGCTCAAGGCCAAACAAATCTGAAGATGACTTGTTCCTTGATGTGGCCAACAGGGCTAAAAGAGTTGAGGCAATCCTTGAAGACTTAAGTTTTTTGCAGATTTTTGAGAGGTACTCAGTACAGGCTGTTTGTTTGTAGACTGGTGAAAAATAGCAGAGCCTTTATTTTGTAAAGTGACAGGTGAGAGACTTTACACTTTTTATTCTGTTTTAAGGAAATAGAGAACATGCTGAAATGTGTGCATTTACTTTCACAGGTTTTATAGGTTAAAGGATTCATTGGGTGCCGTAGGTGCAATATTAAAAACCATGGGAAATTTCAGAGATCAGCTATTCTAGAAATCCTCTGCACATTTAAAGTATTCCATAATATGTTTAATTTAAGACACTTGTGTCAGCCTCCCTCTCTCTGGGTGTGAAACTGGCACATTCACTGTCTGAATGGAAAGACAGTCAAAAGGTGCTGCTGTAATATGCCTTGGACTTTTGTGGGAGCTTTGTCCCTTGTGAAAAAAAAATATGGAGATGTTGTACATCATCATCAATTGCCAAAATGATGTGTTCCCTGGTACCACAGTGACCTTGTGTACCCCGATGCTCTTTCAACAACATGTGACAAATGAAATGATGCTGCACTTGGACCGCTTTTTATATAGAAAAGAATATAGTAGTAATGGACCAGCAAAAGCCTTCTTCACTCATTCTTTGAAATAAGATAAGGCAACGAGTGAAAAAAGAAGGTTTTTGAAACTGATAAGATTACTTGTGATGCAGGTACTAAAAGGGTGTTTGGTATCTGCATGACCTTAGCTTTTCTAATGTAAATATATCACTGGTTAGGCTTACAGCACAAAATCAATTTCCCCTTTTGTGAGAAAAGCTTTGCTTCATGGCCTTAAAGCTAAACCATTGGCCGAACATAGGTTGTTGTCGCTGCATATCAAACATGCTATTCTTCACATGTGGTCACTGCTGCTGTTTGAATAAAAGATACAAGGGACTTTAAACACCATGATAATAATTGCCAGGGATGTGTGTACCACAGGGGGACTTTGTGTTCTATTTTCTATTATTAAAGTGGCATCTTGGAATAGATAACCTTTTCTACATTCCACTCAGGGAATTAGTCAAATTAATAATACAAGATGTAATACGGTGCCTTTTAAAGCCTAGAGAGTGAAAGAATCAACTTGGGTTCAAGACCTACTTTCATACTCTCAGGCTGATAAATATGAACTGATCCTAAAATTATTTTAAGTAGACCCCAAATGCATCTGAAGATATTTTATGAGTCACTACAGTAAGTAGTTTAAATTGTATCTGCCAAAGTTTTTACTCTGACAGAGCAGAGTCTTGCTTGGCCCCAGGAGCTCCACATATCTCTTTTTGTGTTACCTCTGATCTCTCATCATCTCTTGGGCCTTACATCAAGAGCCCCGGATTTATCGATCAATGGTCATAAACAAAACATAGATTGAACAGGACAGTGGGGCACAACAAACGGATTACCGACTTTTTATTCCTCTGGACCCTATTGGTCACTAGAGCCTCAGCTGAAAAAGGCTATTGGCCAGCAGAAGTGTGGCATGCAATGCGGATTGGGCAGCAAAGATGTTAACGACTCATGCAAAAGAATCATAGAAATAGGTGCCGAATGACAATGAGAAAAATATTTTGTGTGAGTGTGCATGTGTGTGCATTCAAATAGTGTGTCTGTGTGCATAATATAAATGGATGAAAGCAGAATCAGATGTGTAATCCAATTGTGTCTGCAAGGTATTGAGCGTAATACCAGTCAATCCAATTTTCAATGCTTGAATACATGACGATGAGTGAAAGAGCTTCTGAGTGATAATTTCTGTGTTATTGTAAATGTGTGTCTGCCAACACGTGTGTACTTGTTCATGAATGCTTTTGATAGAATATCTGCATACACTAGCATGTGGTTGCACATGCTAGCACACAATATTTATACGCCACTGTGACCACACGCCTGACAGCTGTGCATATTTCACAGGGTGGAGAGCCCTGCATTGCAGTGCTTGTACATGGCAGTCATGCTCTTTATGTGAGAGCAGTTCAGGGTCAGACTAGAAGAGGAGAATTAAAGTACCATTACCAAGCCCATCCCTCTCTATCCTGCCTCTTTGTAGCGCAACATATTATCGTCTCACTTCCTTACCTCCTTAGCGTAATTTATTTCCGTGTTTTACAGCTATGTTTACTAAAGCAGCAGACCAGGAAATTCTCTACGGAATTGTGATTAAACTGCTTCATTTGAAACAAACAGCAAAACAGACACCAGTAATGCTATACATATGTTTAATAAAAGCAACATATACAGCACATACACCAAAAAGTACTACAATACTGACAGCAGTTGTAATGCACAAAAGCCTATTATTGCAGTCAATAGCATGTGTTACAAGATTACATCGCTTTCATTGCATCAGGTCAGTGTCAGAAACCTTCAAATCGAAAATGCCAATTTTGCTCAGTCAGTAATGAAGAAGAAGATGTTGTTCCTAGGGCTATCCTGCCTTTAGTCCAGGGAGTTTCAGAAATAAACAAAGAATAAAGTCTTCTCTTCCAATCCAAGGAGAGTGGCCATTTCAGTACAAAAGAGAAATCACTATAAAAGAGAATCTATACTTTCAGAAGCATAACGGCATGCCACGTGCAGAAACACATCAAAGAAATGAAAGGAATGAGAAGTGTTCCAGAGTGAATTAGCTATGATTAAAGATGCAATTTCTTTTTCCAGTAGTAACTAAATGTGTCTCTCTGTCTTTTTCTGTCTACAGCAGTGGCCCCCACACTTCCTAGTCTACGTTCAGAGGTCTTCAAGCCATGTGTGGAAGACAAGGACCTGGCCTTTTGTCTAAATGAGGGAGAGTGCTCCATTATTGAAACTGTGGCTGGGGTTCACAGACACTGCAGGTGAGTGTGATGGGGCATGTATTTGTGTGTGTGTGTGTGTGTGTGTGTGTGTGTGTTTGAGGCATTTGGTTTCTTTCTCAGCATTGACGTTTCCTCTCTTTGCCCTTCCCCTCTAATCACTAACCTTGGGGTCACTTTCATTCAGGCAGCTTTTTTCCTCCCCAGCCTGACAGACTGTGTTCTTAGAGTGATGATACACAGGAAAATCGTTCCTGTGCAAATGCACCCAAAATGCACTGAACATCGATAATGACCCAAACCACTAATCGAGGGTTTAGAGATGCTTTGGCCGCATTAGATGCAGTTGAATTTCTGATGAAACTAAACTACACAAATGGAAAGGAAATCCTTCCATGCAGATTCAACCAGGAAGCACAAGAGGAGCAAACATGATGCAACTGTCTTTTTATTGTGGTCTGACAAAAAGTAGTGATAGCATTCTTACAAAATGGGCTTCTCCTCATGTATTAACCTTGGCATAAATGTTGCCTCATATGACCTCCCTGGTATGAGATGCATTTTAATGGTAGGTGCAAAGAAGGGGCTCTTGCAAGATCATTCTTTGATCTTACTTAAAAGCAAAAGATTGTTCTTGTTGTTCTTTTTCTTTCGCCATTTTCTTTCCTTTTTCTTTTTCCACTCAGGCAGCCACTCACACCCTGATTGCCCAACAGAATACATTTCGCACACCCTGACACAACTCAAAACGTGGCAGGCATAACTAAAATGTTGTTAATTACCTAGATCAAATTTATTGAACAAAACAAATCCAATCCTTTATAAAGCCTTTGACAACCTATTTGCCTGCAGTAGAAAGCCTATCCCATTCATCTGTCACCTAATTATGTTTCTTCTTATTTGTGATAAAGATATAGTTATAGTGCTCAAAATGTCATTTACAGGTGGATGGGAAGAAAAATAGGAGTATATATACACAAGAGAGTAAATGCTATAAAATAATGCTTTATAGCAGTATATGCCTTAATATGTTCTGTTAGCTATCATTTATATAATATTAGCCGATTCTTTTAGGATTGTACTGCAAAATACACCCAAATTAAACAGTATGCTAGGAAAGCACGCTTAATATGCCTGTAGTCGTATGTGCATTGCAAATTTATGTGCTTGAACTCCTCTCTTCTTTGTATGTTCCTGGATGTTCCTGCTCCCCCTTAGCGGCCTGCTGCACTATCCACTTCAACTCTGCAATCACTCTGGTATATCACTTTAAAAATACATCACTTTAAAAATACATGATAAGAAATGTTCTCTGAGGGAAGAGTTGTGCTGAATGGTGCTGAATTGAAAACCAGCTCATTAGTACACCTACCTGGAATTAAAGGGCCTAAATCTTTATCTGGAAAAAAGAAACGGTGCATTATAAATGAAGCATGAGTGTGAGTCAAGCTTCTTAGAAAAGTAAATGTTGAAAGTTGAAAAAACAGTGAGGTAATGTGTGCATTTAATTAAAACTCACTGACCATTTTTGCTCATTATAACAGTCACATGGTTTATTATCAATCACAGATAATTAACCAGATAACTTTAAAATCTATTTGCTAAATGAAGAAACACATCAAATTTTAGCAGAAACCAGCTATAAAAAATGGAAAATTATATCATTTGGACACAATATTGATTCAAGTATTAATGCTTGAATATTTGATTATTCAGTGGAAACCTCTTATAGTGATCACATCCATCTGAGTCAAATTGATCAGTATGAGGGAATGGTTGTTATAACAGATTTGTTTTTTCTTTTTCTCATGGAGATTATCATCTAATTGACATTTATAGCATCAATATTAAGGAATGAAAACTGCTTTGCTATTTACTGAATTTTATTGACTGTTACCAAATACATAGCAGCTGTTTCAACCACTTTTCAAATTACTGCAGAAATTAAATTATTATTGGAGTTATAATTATACTACTGTAGAATGCAAATGCATACAGTAATGTAAATAATATATATCTAGTTCAAATTATTATTAGGCTATAGCCTAAAAAAATATTATGATGTTTAAAATATTATATACATACAGCATTTGTATAGGAATGATTCTGTCCCAAGCTTTTTGATCCAAATAAGTGGTTGATCACTGTAGAACCGTGATCCCTATAAGCAGTTTCCACTGTATAATTATATATAATTTCAATGAATGGTTCTGGGAAAAATTCAATGATGGGAAGAAGAGTCAGTGTGTGTTTCATGTCACATTACGGTAGACGATTTGGAATGTCCCTCTTGTGCGACAGCAGCATCAAGAAACCCCGAAGACTGTGGACTATAATTAGTGACAGCTGAATGACTGCATATAGAACTCAGGAAAGACTGGAGCGCATAACCCATAGGTACTATCTGCCAATTTGTCTTGAGTTGAATGCCTGTTGTGTGAAAGAATGATTACAGGTTTGTGAATACTTTTGTTGAAAGGTTGTTTCGTTTGCCTGAGAGTCCAGGCAGTAAGTCAGAAAATATAATAATTTTACTCAAAAATCACTGCCATGTTGATGCAGTTTAATGTCATCGCTGCTAGGTGGAACTCCAGGTGTGCTAGTGATATTGATGAAGCGCTTTTACAGGACAGTAATCACAAAATTGAATTATTTCGAAGGTAACTTGTCACGAGTAATGTGAAAACAACTAATTAAGCCTGCAGTCTACATTAAAGTGATGTTACAGGATTTCTAACCACTAGGGGGCAGAAAGTCCCCAAAACAAACTCACAGCAATGGAGCCACAATAAAGCTGAAGCAGAACATAAAATCTTTAAAACTGATTCTTTATTGCCACAAAAAAAAATTTAAGTTAAAAATACATTCAAAAGATATGGACGATGCATTTTGCCCTGATAAAGTATTTATTAACTGCTATTTGTGATGATCCCATTATTTCTGTCTACCTGTCGAAATTCAAGTCCATGGTTTGGTCCACCAACTCCTGAGAAAACGATCTGTCTCTTTCTGACTGGCTAAATGTTGGACTCTCCTCACCAGCTATTTCTTTATTTCAGATCTTTGCTATTTCATGCTGAGCGGGTAGCGTACAGTCAGCTTGTGTAAGGTTCTTTGCTGAAATATGGCAGCCCTCAGTTTTATTTTTTGGGGATCCAACCATATGGACTGACAAACCCAAACAATGAGCTGAAGACTGTAAATACAGTAGCAGTGGAGAACTGCTAGGCCATTACTATATTCATACCACGCTGCACACAGTGTTATCCTCTGTTTTTCTTCCTGTCAGAGATACTGTGCGTAATGATAAACCCAGATATTTTCCATCCACATTTCTAGATACAACTAAAAGGGGAATACATATAAGGCAGATTATTACACCCAGGTTTATGGTGCTAGAGAAACTGCTGTTGATCAATCACCCCTCCCCCCTAAGCAATGCTGGATCAGCCTCTTCATGAAAATAACTGCTGATCTCTTCAGTCTGCTGTAAAGCACAGAAAAGTAAAGGTTTAACTTGCTGCCTCCTTTGACGTCATCTTATCCTCCAGGCCACAGTGCAAAGAGCATAATAGATGGTTGGATGTTCTCCAACAATAGACAAGTAAAGATGTCAGAACAATCTTTAAACACTTGAATCATTGGATGAGAACACAGTTGGGAATCAGTTTATTTTGTTATGAAACATTTCCTTCACTCTCCTCCTCCTTTCTCCCCCTCCTCTGCCGGATGTTCATGTCTGCCAATGCTAATAAGGCTCCCAAAATAAACATGCAAATGTGAGTTAAAGACCTACTTCCACATCATTGCTGTAGCTTCTTATATGTTGAGTACAATACATGTACAAGAATTCAAAGGTCTTGCTAAAGGTGCTAATTGGGGCTCAACACATGATGGCCCAAGCACATATAGAAGTATCACTCTATAGATAACTACACTTGAAATTACATCATTCTCTGTTAAGGATTTTGAAGCCAAGCCATTACTACAGTGCCCTGCCAAATTCACCAAAACAATTTTTGGTAACACTTTCTATGAAGGTCACTATCACTATCACTATAATGACTTATGCATATATTTATAACACAATATAATGCGTCCATAAGACATTATAACAACTGTTATAATCACTTACAAACATGCATTAGGCGCTATAGCAAAGTTCATAATGTATTATGAACTTTTGATTTAATGTTTTATAACTAATAGTAATGCTAGTTTATATCAATGTGCGGCAAGAATCCCTGACCATGTTCCATAACACATTATAACCAACTCTGCCTCGTTATAAATACACTTTTTAGTCACAATTTAAAATTAGTTATATAAAATGGAATAATAGCTTATAGTTATGTTTAAAGTTATATAGCATGTCTTTGTTTGCTTTAAGTAAAGTGATAAAATATCTATCCCTGTATAATATATTACAGATGGACATAATACCATATGAACTAATTATAAGACCTTATAACACGTCATTGTTTGCTTTAAGTAAAGTGACACACATTTTGCGCAGGAAAACAACTTTTATTTATGTTTTTCACTTTATGAACAATCTGTATGAATTTTGAACATTTTGCAGTTTAGCACAAAAACACAACATAATTACATCAAGAAAACACATTGTCAGGGTGGTGAAAGATCGCTCAAGAGAAGACCTGTTGCCGACCAACATCATGTAAGAAGAGGCTCAGATGTTGTCACAGATGAATGGCAAGCCTATGGACAGGCCCTAACAGATGCAGTGGAAAATTAAAGACAACCACTTCACAAAACGTAGCCTATTAAAAGACATTTAAAAGATTTAAGAATACAATCTCATGCATTAGATACAGTATGTAGATGAGTGAAAGTATTAATGTTTACTTCAACAACAGAGTCAATGCATATACAGATATGTTTACTTTATAGGAAACTTAATATAAACGTTGCATCAAGCATCAATTGTCACACAGAGCAGAAATCATCAAGAATGATAAATCTCAATATTGCCCTGTGTAAATTCAAATTGGTATCAAACCTGCCATCAGGGGGAGGAGAAA